CTGCAATTTATTTTTGGCATAATTCACACACTGTTTACCGGCCGCCGTCCTTCAAACAGAAAGAACCTGTTTCTTATCTTAATACATAAAATAAACTGTTGGCCTTTTTATGCCGGTGCCTAAGAGGATCAAACTAAAGCACAACGCCAACCGCTGCTCGAGATAGGTCTTGATAAATATATTGTTGGTAAAAGGTTATCTTTAACTTAGGGTAATCTTTTACCTTGTCAAATGAACAAGGGCCAACTTGTGATCTTAATTAATTCGATAATATTTTAAATTTGTCACAGAACATTTATGTCAAATTTAAATTGAAGCAATATATCTAGCATTTATGAAGGTGGCTTTGCACTAAATGAGCAGACGCATTGACTCTGCATAACATGCATCCTTTTGAAGAAATAATGATAAAAATAAAAGGCAAAAGAGGAGGCAAAAAGTGCTGGGTTCGCTATTCCGAAATTTATATAATTAATGCTTGCAAAGACACGTATGCGCAATGCTTTTCAGGCAGTAAAAATGTAAAAAAGGTAACGCGATGAAAAAGCCTATCAAACAGTATTTTTTAACAAGAATCCCTCACTGTTGAGGATTTTTGCGAAAAACGTCTCACTAAAAATATTTTATACGGTCTTTAGATTCATATATAATTTATGCAAAGCGAACATTTGTGAAACTAGCCTCTCTGTTCGCTCAGTAAACTAAGGTCGCTAATTTGGATGCAAATGTACCATCATCGTCTTCTAAATTCGGTTTGAAACCGGGCGTTGATATGCTTCGTTTCTTAGACGGGACTATGTTTCTAAAGCAATAATTGAACCCAAAGCATTTTTAAGATGAAAACATTCAATCCAGGCAACTTACATAAACTATGCCTAAACGTCAATAGTTATTAAGCCCGCTGGATACGCCATTCCCTAATTTGGTGTTCGGGAGAGTAAGTTTAGAATATTGACTTTCGAAATTTTTTTGACTGTAACTAATAAACAGACATGTGGAGATTCAGAACATTCATTCACAATGCGTTTGAAGTATCACGATGAAAGTATATTATAATTCATATTAAAATGTGTTCACATCTATGAGGTCCAGCTATGTACACTCAACCAAAACTGGTATGTCCTCCATCTAATTATCTCTGATAATAATTACTGTGATTAATGTCGAACCTCTTGATGGATTAACCCATTACATAGTTAGTACTGGAAGATCTGCCGTGATGCTCATAAATAGATTCTTATTTTTCAAAATGAAGACGTTACAATTTGGATGAATACTATTTGAATAAACATTGAAGCTTTAGATGAAGGAAGTAAACGAAGAGCTATGTATCTAAAAAACTGTGCTGGGTGTCGAATTTCAAGGCAGCTGCGTAATATTTTTTAGCGTTTGGTATATAAGAGCAGATATTTAGTATATATCAGTTGATCTTAGTAGAGACAATATAGAAATTTTTCTATATAATATGCTGATATTTTTCAAAGGCATACTTAGTATGCACCGTACAAATATTTACCTTTATCGTAAATGAGTATCGTTTACTTTTTTTAAATGAGTATCAGTTGAATGCAAAATTTAATAGAATGGAGGTTCATTTGATGTTATTATCAACACATTTTCTTCTACTACTAATTCCAACAACGAAGTCACAATAATTGCAAATAATTTCACCAGAAAAAAGCAGATTTTCAAGTTAAATTGTAATTTTCTCTAGTTCGATTTTACGGTCTTTAGATATAACTAAAAAACCTATACTTGTTTGAAAACTTTCAGATTTTTGCTATACAATGCTATATTGAATTTCTGTGGTCCTATTGAAAAATTATTTGTTTGAAAGCCCTGCGGTTTTATAAAAAAATTATTATATATATATATATATATATGTATAATAACGTCCCGGCTGAATCGCCGATGAGAATGAGAGAACGTGTAACTAGCGTTTGGATTTTATTTTGCCCATCAGAGAGTCCAATCTGGCTATTTGAATTACTAGGACGTGAACACCTTCACTTGGAAGATGATTTTCTTGTTGAAATGTGCTAGCTATCTACGTTTATGGCTCTCAAGCTTAAGCTGACTAAGGTTTAGCAAACGGATTGGCCTGAAATAGTCCCTAGACTTATCGTGGAAACGAAGCTATAAAAAGCGAAAGAGGTGGTGGGGATGGACGAAGCACAAACTGTGAATAGGCTACGCCACGTCAATAAGGACGGCTAGGCATGTAAGCGTACGAGAGCGTGCGCGGTTGGCGCTAGAGGGGTATAACACGCAAAAATAGTTATCAAGTACTTGCTTAGGGACTCCAGACAGCATCAAAGTGTGGCTGTTTCGAGGAAATCGGGAAGATCAGGCCCACTATTCCAGGGTTCATCAGTTTGTTCAGTATGAAATGGGGGAAACGTTACTCTCATATTCGAAATGGCGCTAATAACAGTGTAACATTCTCTTTCTTTTAGATATGCACCTCTTGTTTTTGGAATCTAGGACTGAACATTGTCATTCGAGATTTTAGCTAGTGGGCAGCAGTCAACGATGAAATAAAAAATTCTAGCGTTTAACGAAGCTAAGTTCCATATTAGAACTAGAGCGGTGTGGACAGCTCGTTTTATAAATCGCGCATTAGGTGGAGGGTCTACTAGTGGAAAGCTGCGAACAGTTGATCAATCACTAAGAAGAATCAAGAAAACATTTCGAATCTGAAAATGAGTCCTGTGAAAGACCTTTTTATAAGAAAATGTTGCGAGCTGTTGTGGAAGCGGACACATGATAAATGATACTGGTATTACAACTCAGGTTTGATGTATGTAAAAATACCGTCCTTGTCCACCTTGGCCAAATTAATGAGGTAAAAAGAATTAGTCAAAGGAATGCCGCATCTTTTGAACGGCATTCAAAAACGGAGACGTTGAGACGCATGCTTCTTTTTCTCTTTCACGTTGCACCACTAATCTACTTTTACCTCGAATCGTAACTTGTGATGAAAAACGGATCTCCTACGATAATTTCACACAATCATACTAGAGGATCGATACAATGGAAAAAGTGGGACATAACCCCTAAGGGTTTATGAGTTCTGCTTTTTCGATTGAGACTGGAATGTACTGTCAACAATTAGGGAAGATAACAAACAAACTCCGCACTAAGCAGCCAAAATTACTAAGCAGAGGTCAGCCATATCTAATGCACGGCAACGCTCGACCTCACATCAGAAGGATCACGGTAAACCCAAGAGTTGTAACTGTGGGCCTTCTATCATTCACCACGATCGCTAGACTTTACTTCGCAAATTACTATTTTTTTAAGTCTCGGAAACATCTTATTAGAGAAAATTATTAAACATTAAGTTGAAATTGCTATTCGAAAGCATAAAGTCGACACTCTTACGACCGTGTAATACATAATTTACAGTCGTAAAAGATAACATATACTAATAATGCATATTTCGATTAAAAATAAAGAACTAAGTTCTTGAAAAAAAAGTACAGGGTATAACATGATGTTTTTCAGCTTTTCTTTCCCACAGAAAATCTCTGTTTCATGCGAAGCCCATTGTAAAAACCATGTATGGCAAAGTGAGTTACGACATGTCAATTTAGCCGCTGCACCAATTCCATGCTCTGCTCCTCACCATACCAAATCGACGCATTGCTTTTCAACGTCGCAGGGCAGATGCATCTTTTATATAAGAGGTCATCGATTATTAAGAGCTGAGCCAAAAGCTCGATACAACTGGAAAAAATAAGCATTTCGCATTTCGTACTTACCATAGAATCATATAATAATTTCTACGTATTCCCGGAGGCAATACGATAAAGAACGCACTGTCGTTTTTTAATCAATAATCGGAGCGTGATCACCACACTAGCTACGTTGGAGGTAGGCTTACCTCCATCCTAGCTATAGCTCATCTATTTATGCTTCTTTAAGATATGGACGGTTTTCCTTCCTAAGCTTCTGCAAACCTAAAGTTTTTTTACTCACGCTGTAAAAACATTTTATTTAGCTTGAATAAGATCTGCTTTTTATTTCTTAACTGGCGTTCGTTATTTTAGATTTTTAGGGCAGACCTCGTTGGCGAATATGTTCATCCCACAATAGTCAAGAGACAACTATCGACATATTTAGGAGTCATACAACTAATACACTGAAAGTCTGATCGATTTCCTATATTTTCCAGCCTATTTTCCTGATTAGAAGCGGGTTGGGTACCCAAATCAGAAAGAAATACAATGATAATGAGATAATAAACTTCCCTAAATATTCGTGATTTAAACCTGGGTATAAATCTCACTCGACTGCATGATGATCAAATTATACGAAAATCGATAACGCGCTTAGAAAACGAATCCGTTTTGTACGCTTCGAAAGCCGCATCTTCGAGGTTGTTTTTCTTGTTGTTGAAATACTTTAGAGACCTAGTATTGGAATATAAATGTCAGGTAGTTTAAAATAAAATACCAGGGTGAGCAAACACATGAGAATACCGATTTTAAATATAGGCAAACACTGCTAGATACTCGGTACCCTCTTTAACTAAGAAAATACTGTATCCGTTTAGCTTTCATGACATGACATGTTTTTCTAGTTTTCTAATCAGGCACATAAATATTCGTTTATATTAAAAATATATTTTAAATTTTTGTTTTAATTGAGCCACTAGTTTTCGGAGTTCCTGTGTGTCGCATTGCCAAGATTGAACCAGCAGCCGATGTTTTGTTATCTATAAACTTATCTATTCCGCCGAGCCGACAAATAATTTCACGTATAATATTTTTCACCAATTTTGAAAATTAGAAATACCAGCGTAATGGTATCTGGCAAACAACGGAAAAATTGTGAAGGGATCAACAGCAATGGAGTAAAGGGTATCGAGAAACTTAGCGGCAATCCACAATTTAGTTCTTCTCGCTGGATGAGAGCAACAACAGCCATAATAATTTATATATTGCTTTATTAAAATTATCTCCATATGTGTCTGTTTTCACTGATCTATATTTCAGAACTCCTGGCCTCGCTTGTGAAAGACAATGATCAAGAAAATCAACCTAATGACGGCGATGCTGGTTCACCACGGAGCAAACACCGAAACGGGGCTGGCGAAGGGACACAAAAAACTGATGGGGCTAAAAACAGTGCGTCTAGAGGAGCTTCTCCTGCCAGAGCTGAGTACACACCCGAACAAGCGGAGGCTGTAAAACGAATTACCAAGTAGGTGGCAGTTTACTCATGTGACAGTAGGTCATTCCAGAAAATTTGTCACGTGGCTTGTAACTGAGCAACAAATTAAGAGAGCAAAAAATTGGTCCGACTGTGTACAGCTCTAGCTGAGTTTCTATTCGATATGTGTACTTGTAAATTGAAGCGCCGTAAAGATCAACGCTAATTTAGATTAGACCGAAAAATATCATTCGTTGAGCTCTCGCAGTCATTTGTTGCATGATACTATTGTGGCTGCCCGATTTACACTCGGTTTCCAAAGAGCGTAGTGTCGCGTAATGCACATTATAATATGCACTTTTCCTAAATTTATTCGAAAAACCCATGCTGTTTTGCGTTAACTCCTATTCTGTATAACACTCTTTTATTTGCACGGAAACCTTGCTCATCTATTTTTTACCATAGTTTTTTTTTTATATTTGAAAGGATTTTCCTTGCTTCGTTGTTTTTGAAAGTCTCCCTTGCAATCGTTACAAAAGTTGCTCTTAAGGCACTAGTAAATGTCGTGCACTTAATCCTAGCATCATAGACGAGCAAATCTGAGAGCTGGTAGTGGTATTGGACATCCGTATCGCACATTGGCGCAACTCAGTAACCGATAAATCAATTTACTCTTGCTACAAGACTGAAACAATCCCTTGGTTTAATTACTTCTCATGGTTAGTATTTTTAGCTTTCATGCACGACTTCAGATGGGTTTTGCTGGACTTATTTTTCTGGTAATAATATACCATAATAACAATTTGACAATACTGAAATTAGAACCAGCGACGACCGCATGTTCATATTTGCTATGAAAACACATCCAAGGAGTCGCCTATTTGACGGGTGGTTCATCACATGTCAATGAAAAAAAGATGCAAGAAAAATTCCGTACCGTGAGAACAAATTGTACACATAGATAAAACAAAGGGAGGTCAGAGTTTTATTTGTTGTATGGTAAATAGCCATGTACAAAACCTTTCATGTAAAGCATAACTATAAATATCGCATTTCGCGCTATGGCAGTTGGCTAGTTCGTGCACAATGCATTTTCACAAATTTGCGGATTTTATATTTATATTGTGATCTACCGACTCACGTAACAAGATACAACACACAAAAAAAATTTCTTAATTCTGTATGACCTTATTTATGTACATATATATATATGAGGAAGGTCATTGCGTTTTCTATCAAGAGAACATTCAAATGTTAATACTAGTAAGACTCCTGAATTTGTTTTGAGATATATACGGGTCAAAAATTCACAGCAATTCGCATAACTAAATTTTTTCTTTGGCCAAATTCTAAAAAGTACACTACCTAGAGTAACAACTGCAGTCCTGCCTGTGAGTGCTATTTAAACGTGGTATATACATAGCTGGCGATGCTTTGCCCTGCCGGGACTATAGCAAAAATGTTTAAGACCGATGGCACTATATGAAAACTCATTTCAAAAAAAAAGGTACATTCTTTTTGTAGCTAACAGTATTTTCTCATTATAATTTGAATGAAGATGCGCTAAATGAAGCGCCAGTCGGATGATAATCATGATTAGTTATCCCAAATCGACAGTGTACAGTATCGCAAGTGAGTATGTGCTGCAGAAAAAAAGGGGCAGATTTGTACACAGGATCGTAGTCGGACGATAATAGGGAGAACTGTAAAGCTGGTCGATGCCGTCGAAAAGGGCACGTATGATGATGATGATGATATTTCAACCTTGCTTTCCTTCAACTAGCTCTTTAGCGAAAAAATGTCATGTGATTGAGCAGGTTGTCTTCGATTTACCTCTATCGAAAAAATACAAAGGATGTGCTTGTAGTGGGTAAAGCCAATATTCATGTTATGATTGTGCTTTTCAATAAAGGAAGCGTCATACCAGCGTTTTGACGGAACCACCAACAAACATATGTATCTGCGGATTCTGCGATCTGTTGTGTGACCGCACACAGATGAAGTGTTTGAAACAAAGCCACACGTCTTTTAGCAAGATTATTGGCACCGGCTTGCACCAGCGGGTTATAACTACTTGAGAATCTGAAGGTATTTTGGAGTAAGCACATATGGCCTTCTAGGTTTCACGCCACACAGCCCACATGTGACTTCTCTGGGGTGCTGTATATGGAGCGTTCCTGAATGAGGATTCGACAAGGTTCTACATGAGAGCAATGACCAGCTCGCTCGTGTTATTAAGGAGGAGCTCTCGAGCACAAAGGAGGACACTCCTCCTTTGCGGAAGGCCAATTGTAAAGGAAAACTTCGTAACGAAATTGGTATACATTTAGGTCCCGAATTGAAGTTATAGTCGAAACTAATTGTGGTTATATCGAGTAAATATTACCATCGGCGCCGACGCGCATACGCAAAAAAGAGTTAAATATCTACTCTTGTTGTGTGATTGTACTATGCAATCTTAAAAACACATAAGCAATATTCTGACTAAAGTTGGCTACCCTGTACCCCACCATTATGGAAGCAGATCTTACGATTTTTGTAAGGTTCAGTGTGTATGATTGGCTTGATAAGATAATTTTACAGACAAAACATGTTCTAGGTTTGTTGCACATATTAAAAACATCCTCATTGATTTTAATCTATTCATTTTTTTGAATTTCTTATCTGATACTGCCGTTAAGCATTGTTTCGGACAACTAGATCCCAGCACCAAACGAAGTGTGCTTATTCGATCTTTTTTTTAAGTTCAGAGTTCGTGACATATTTAAATCTGAATGGCCTTTAGTCTTCTGAGCTTTCACAAAAGAAATATCGTCAGATTTGAGAAAAAAAACGTTTTTTTTCTTTTTTTTTTTTGTCGGAATTGAATATGATGTTTTCATTAAGAAAGTAAATAACTTTGAAAAATATTTTCATCTTGGCATTGACTTTTCAACAGCCTATAATTTCTATAGAACAATTTAACAGTTCAGTTTACCATTAGATAGAAGAATAACTGTAATAATGTAACGTGTTAACGATTGTATGCGAGAGGATTGATTGTAATTTAAGAAAGGCATAATTGACATGAAGAATGGAGCAACTACTACGAGATTCAAAATGAATTAGAATGCACACTGAAGATTCTTGAGTCAGGATAACTCAACTATCTAAGCGAGGTAACAAAACTGCTCAAGTGAGGTGATAATTTCCTAAAACACGGTAATAGAATAATGCAGCTGGGTAGTGAAGTAAAAAAATAATTGTAGCGAGAGCTTTCCTGAGAAAAATAGCGAAATAGCGTTAGGCAGTGCCCAGTGCGCGCATGTATAGTAGATTACAAAATGGTAAGGATTGCGGGCGGATGTTGAATTTAAGTGGTGTTCTTTGCTAATATACAGGGAAAGTGACAAAAACTATCTAGTTCCAACATTTATTTTGAAATAATTAAGCACATGTTTTAAATGAACAATATTTTACTTTCCAGGTGTAAGAATTATTATGAAGTATTAGAGGTTGAAAAAGAAAGCTTCGCCGAAAGTGAGCTGAAGAAGAAATATCGGAAGCTTGCCCTTCTTGTAAGTGGAATTTATGTAGTATACCTTTACCCGATTTAGTGCTGCGCGCTTTATTTTGGGGAAATATAGGTGTTCTATTCAGTGTTACAAGGTCACTAGTCAAAGCTGTGGCTTTCTAAAGCATACAAGTTCCCAATACACCCACAATTTTTGTTAAAGTAACATAGGTATATCATCCCCAATTCTAAAATCAAACATTTATCGTTCTTGCACAAAGTAAAAACTAAACGCACCAACCCATATTTAGCCGTATGTGTACATGGACAGTTGAAAACCTCAAGAGTACCTGTATTAAGTACCAATACTGAAACATGTATTTTTTCTATTTTATGATATCATTGTTCGATTGTCTCCGACACGGTTTCTATATGCTTACGGATTTGGCTTAAGTCCTTAAGCTTAAAGTCTTATAAGAACTGTCCACTGCAATAATGTTATATGTAGACGTGCACATGCGTTAGTTACACATGCAATGGTGAGTCTATAAGAACACAATGCACGTTTCGTGCTCGAAGTCCTATATAGCACTGATTATCTCTTTTGAAACGTAGAACGTTTCGAAACTAATAATCAATGCTATTAAGGAAACTCTGAAGTTAGTAAAAGAAAAAATTAGTTCGCAATAGGACCATGTGTTACTTGGAAACCACATTAGAGCTGAACGCCGAAATGAGTTTACGCATTATATTTTTGCGTTTCGACAGTCATTACGTGTGAAGCCCATTTTGTCTAGTATCATTAACTATCTCCATTACTTAGCTGTTGTGCAATCAACATTTGTCTGACCACTTTGACTTATGAACGGTGCTGCTCCAGAATTAAAAAATATGGGCTAACACTGTGATGGCATTACATACACGTTTATTTAAATTCAAAAACCATTTTATATTATGAAACATATTGTGTAAATCTGCTAACTTCAATAATCTAATAATGTTACCTTAACACAAGTTTGAGGGTTCAGTGATAATTCTCAGACAGCACTTGAAGACTGCTTCACGTTTTAAATTGGTTAAGCAAAATCCTTGAGCGATGGTTCCTTTGAGATGTGATTAACAATATATTTAAAAGAGATAAGTCTTCCATGTGCTACTCTAATATAGCCGATGTATATGAGTACACAATACAAAAATTTATTGCAGCTTTTCTCAAAACGACGCTACGCGTCATGCGTTGGACTGTACCCAAATGGTAGATGCTTGTGTCAACCTGACCATATTTTCAAGGAGACTGCCCCAAAGCCTAACATAGAGGCTCGGTCATAATGGAATACCTTTTTTACACTGCTAACCGGTGTTGGCCCTACCAAGGTACCAATGCCGAACAACATAGCATAGTCGGTAGCGTGCTTTGTAAACTACGTTAGTTTCATACTGGCATGAATTCCCGCTGAAGGCCAAAGAGACTTATTGTCTAATTCTTTTTGTCTTTTTCATCATACTTGGGACAATAATGGGTAAATGGTATTGATTATCACGCGTGAGACAACACTGGCGGCGCCCGTAACCATCACAACAAATAATATGGCCTATAAGAGATTCTCTGATGTAAACGACTAGATAATCAATAACGGATCGAAAGAAATTTGGCATATAGTTATTTAGATCGGGACTGACACTCCGCAATGTACACCTTTCCTTCGCTAGTACAGGTTCCGTTCTGATCCGGGGTGACTCCACATACAGCAAGTTGTTTTCTTTTCTTTGTGTTTTTCAATGATATTTGCATTAGCAAATTTCTGAGACGCATTTTCTATTGATGAACTGGATATTTCGGAGTTTACTGTAACAACTAGTTGACCAAACAAACTAAAATAGTTGATTGCCAACTTTTTATCTATGAGTGTAGCAAACTCTGTTTTCACAAAGTTGTGCCCCATAAAAATTGCACTAGTTATTTAACTTTCCTCTAGTTATTGCTGACCCACAAAGTTCCAACAGAAAAGTTGGCCTAAAAAGCGAATGACTACATACAAAAGATGTATAACGTAAATCACTAAATACGACTTTAAATTACAAAATTATGCTTGCAAAGAGCAGCGTGTATATGGTCACCAATTGAGTTGAATCCTTGTTTTAACTTTAGCAATAAGTATCATTAGTTGTACGCGAAAGTGATTAGCTGATTTAATTCAAGACAAATTTCTGGGTATATAAAAATTTGGATCAGAGCTACAAGGTGTTATCCAAATTTTTGTATACCCAGTCCAAAATTTGCATCTATATTAGCAGCTGTTATAGGAAGTTCTTTAAAGTGAAGTTCTTTCCTTTATTAATGAAAGAAAGTTCTTCTGTTTATTATGCTCACGAATAGTTCGTGAAATCAAATACCTTAGCGCAAATTATGGCAATATAGAGTTAAGCCTGTATTAAAGCTCCAAGACAAGCACGAATACGTTTACCTTCCCGCTATCTGGACTATCCAATCCTGTTGCTAAAGCTCTACACATTTTATCGTTTTTTGCCTTTGCCAAACCTTTATTTTGTGTCCGCACTCTTAGAACCCTTCGTGGTGTATTCTAATGCTTTAACATTAGCATTTTGCTCTCATAAAATTAGATATCATCACCCTCAAGTTCGAGACTTTACCATTTGAACCTCCGTTGCAAATTTAACAAGCCAAGAATTCAAATAGATGCGAGCCGTCCATATGCGTCTCTATATTTGCCGGACTGTTACATTCAATGTTAAATAATTGTAAATTTTTATTGAAAATTAAACGACACGCTATGTTGGTTGCGTTTGTTTTATTTATTGCCAATGACTGGAAACTCTTTCTGAAAAATCTGTGATACGTTTAAAGGTAATTTAATAGTTTATCGTAATTATTGTAACTATAAGGGTTATTCTTTGTATTAAATGGTTTGTAAAACTGTTTATATATGTATAGTTCTTGCCTGCCCTTCGTCTGTTTTAATCACTCTACACATTTGTATGGGTGCAGTAATTGCTTCTTGATTTCAGTCTGGTAGATGGTAAATGTAGTGTGTGTATACACTGCAAGAATTATTTCATCAACGTCATTCTAACAAAATGCCTGAAAAGTAAACTAATCGATAAAGAGGACCCTACGATTTTAGAGAAATATTGCAAATAAATCCGAAACTTTATGAAACTTTCATAATAGGTTACGTTTTTTCAAGTACAACAGGACCCTGACCATGACATGTTCACTGTTGAAGTTTCCTCACAATATATATCTCATTGACACTTTGCTTAGATATTACATTTGACCGGAAATTATTGAAATTAACAGGTACACCCCGATAAGAATTGTGCCCCTGGTGCCGCCGAAGCGTTCAAGAAGGTTGGCAACGCTTATGGAGTTCTATCGGATAATAGAAAAAAGGCGGAGTATGATGCGAATTTGAATCGTCCCATCGACTCGAATCGCGGAGGAAACTACGGAGACTATAATACTACTCACTTCGAGACGAGCGCTGATATTACTCCTGAAGAATTGTTCAACGTCTTTTTTGGTAACGCTTTCGGTATGGAAAGTAAAAAAAAATATATTAAAAAAAGTTGTTAGTTTAGTTATGTTCCTAATATCCGCCCACGTGCTGTGCGTACGCAGATTATCTCTTAATATAAATTAATGCGACATTAACAAAAATCGAAGGCAAAGGAATCAAAAGTGGGGTTTATGTTTAAGCGGGAGCTTATAAAGTTATAATCCATACGAATTGCTACAAATTCGAAGTTATGCCCAAACGTAACTACTATTTGCTGTTGTATTATTATTATTATTATCGTATATACGGCCTTTTTTATTATATTGCAAAACTTCAGCACGTTCAAACCAAAGTTGACGATTTTTGAAAGGCACCGCTTTCCAAGATTACGCAGACAGACCTCGGTCACAAACGCAATAATGCTATTTCCTAGGGTATTCTAAACCCAGATGGACCTTTCAGAGATTAAATGAAGATAAAACGCCTGCATATGCAGATTCACGCTCATGTAATATTTAAAAATGATCCTATATGCATAGGCCAGTAAACGAAATTCTTTCCGACAGATTACTTAATCTAAATGCTTTTACAATCTAACCTCTCTCAAAGCGAAAATTATTTAGCAATTTAAATGATATAAAAAATATTTACAGGCTGAGTTTGACAAATAATTCCCTACAAATTATATTTATATGTAATTATTCGATCGATTCTCTCAAATGGGGCATATACTCACACAGATTATATCCAACATATATATAGTCGTAGGTAAAAAAAACTGAATCTCAGAATCTAAGGTGAGCTTCCACGTTAAGAGAAGTGTCGGCTGAGATTTTAAATAACAGCGAGGTAATGGCTTCTGCGATTGGGGCTGTTACTTTGACATGTCAAATTTAATTTGCTCAACTTGGAGTTGTGTGTGAAATTGTTGTTTTTCTGGAGCAGGATTTTCGTCCTTATTATCCAAAAGCATTTCCCAGACATCGAAGCTTTGGGGCGAAGTAGCAAGGTAGCATAGGAAGCGCCCATTATCGCTTTTAGCAATGTAGTTGACAGCCCAGTCCGTGGTTTGGGATCCAGGAGCGAGTATTTAATTTCTATGTTAATTCATCTCTATATTTTATCTCACATGTGTATCATGGATGTCCAATATCTGCGTATGAATTTTATGAGGCCTAATCTAACTCGTATCAATAATGACGGACACGTACGAAAATAGATTTTACAGTTATTTTGTCGCTGCATAGTATGGCACTCGTTTTCTATTACGCGTTTTTATATCTAAATGTTCACCCAAAATAAAAAAAGCTTGGCATTGGATGCTTGTCACGCCTTCCACGATTTTTATTTTACGCTTACCAAAACTATTTTAGAAATTTTTTACAACTCTCCTCAATCGCAGACGTAATTGATAATCGTTAAGACTTCCGCAGTTTCACTAGCTTCAACTTGCCTACGCGAAGGCAATTTTATGAATGTCGCGTATTTTTTTCTGTAATCATAGCTTATCTAGCTATAGGGAAAAACGTTCCGAAATAGCCGCTAGGCATTACACCAAAAGCGGGCTTCTAGCAAAAGATTTATCACACCCACGCCATAGTCTTTGACATGCATCTCACATGTGTCGTTAGGCCTTAAGGGCAGACACCTGGTTACTGAATTTCTTTCTGGACTTCCTTTTTTGTGACATGTAACGGGACGATATTCATCAGCTTTATTTGACCTATTCTCGATACTGACATATCATGTCTGATTTGGGGTAGAACAGTTTTCACGTACCATATCTAACTCAGCTCCTGCTAAGTCTAACTTAGTTCTTTACAAAAATGAATAAATGGTTGGAAATAGCTGACCATAAGGCGCAACGCTAGCAGTTTGACATGCCGATGCAATGTCGTCTGCTATTCCATATTTATGACGCGATAACATCTTGTTGCGCCTTATGTTGATGTTTCGAAAACTTTTTGACTTCCGATGTTTATAAACTGTACCTACGTAAAAACAAAATAGGGATGGAGCGTTTTGAAAGACGGATGTGTTTATAAAATGTACCCATTTAAAGCGTTCCTATTCTTTCCTCTGAACATCTTTTTCACAGCTGCAAAGAAACACGCTAACTTTAGCATGTCAACGTTTGTTATATTCGTGGGATCTACATAAGAAACCCAAAAATTAAAATTCATACTGTAAGACAGTCACAAGACTGTGGTCCATAGCATGCTTGTCTACTCAACCAGCACGTCCTGTTGATTTTGCTTGTATGAGTAGGTTCACTATTTTGCCAGAATCCCTATGGTCTATCATTCAATAGCGTATTCATAGACAGCTTTGTAAGACACTTTTTCACTTACCCATTTTGGGGGTAGATTATGGCGGCTTGATGTCTCCTTAATTCGTCATTACGGTAAAATCGTGCGTGAGTCAATTGTTGTCAATTTTGGTTGATCCACCATTGATTTTTTTGTCTACGATAAATATTAGTTCACTGATGAAAGGTTAAAGACAATCTGTTGTTCTATTCAAAAAAGAATTCAAGAGCAAACACAAAGCAAGTATCTTGGTTTTATCGGCCTAATTTTGTCTGATTTTGGTGACATACGATGTATGTTCTTTGAGAACAACCCGGATAATTACAGTTTCGGCCGCGTGCAGTTAAGCCCCTTGGGGCTTGCAAAGTTTTTATCTTTGTAATTAAATGTGACGAAAAAAGGATATTTTGTTTTCCTTCCTTTTTGTTGCATAACTTCCAATTTGTCAGCAACCGCATAGTGAGTTGGGGCGGAGCAAACAGCGATTTTGATTATCCCGGTTTTGAAACAGCGACTGATTGATTATCCCGGTTGGGGGGTCGTTTAGCGCCTGGACAATGTGCTCTTCGACCTTTAAAATTAAGTCGTATTTGTGTCATGCCTGTGCTTTTACATTGTAGTTAGGGCAAGTTTTTAAATAGTAAAAGTAACAATCAAATGTATGTCAGATATATTAGTGCATATCTGACAAGACGCGTGACTCTCCAAAAAGTTGCACCTTAGATGGAGCGCAACAAGTTAATTTTCATGCATTCTGTTTCAACCTGTTTCTTTATTCCCCTTTTGCCAGAAATTCTTTTAAATAGTGTTGAAAACCTCGTCTACCCAAACGACGCTTTTCACTGTCAAATATACAATTGCTAATGTCATTAGCCAGTGATGGAAAAATGGTAATCTGAAGGCGCGAGGCCAAACGGTTATGTTGACTGCAAAAAAACCCGTGCTCTTTCAGGGAGCTTTCACAATGTTTGATATGTACGACCTGGCGTTGTAGTGAAGTATAGATTTACCTTGTCAATCGAGTTTTTAGCTAGGTTACAGAGTTCAATCTTTAAAGCCTGAGCTCGTCGTAAAATTTCATGCACTGCAAAGTGAAATTTCTACGGATCTACCCGTGCAGCGTATATACAGCAAATTCAAATGATATATAGGATAGGTACATATTGTATAGGTAAAAAAGTGCACATTCAAAACGCGGTATTTATGTGTAAAAATTACACTTGCCGTGTAATATATGTCATTTGCCTCATTCTTAGACATATACTATGTCGTACTCAAGGTTCAAGGTAACAAGAGACTTATTCTATCTATGCTAAAAAAATGGAAGTCGTCCCTTTAGTTCCCCAACTAGTCGCATGGAAAGTAACCGGCTAACAAACAGCGGAGATGTAAAAAAATAAAGGTATAAAAACAATAAACCAAACGGGCGTTACTTATGTATCAATTTAGTTGAATTGTAAGATGCTTTAATTGAAATATTGGTATATTGAACATACCATGTAATTATACGTCATCACGTGGACACCCTACTAGATGCGTCAGCGTCTACTATGTGCGTTCACAGATGTAATTCGTAACTATCAATTAAATAATGAGGATATTCCTGCGATTTTCTCCCATATACATCGATACTGTCGTAGTGCCGAACATATCACATTGCCCTCCGAATTGACGATAAACTATTAGGGCATACTCTAATGTTAGCAACCTTTTGAATAATTTTGGTCCATTTAATGGAGGTGGAGGATCCTTTGCGTTCGAAGGTGTCAACCGGAGAAGGCGTCAAGCCTATCATCACAGACAAAACTTCCACCACCACCATCAGCAACAACAAGGATCAGAAACAGGACAAACCTCACTTATCCTACAGGTGATTGATTAGGCATAATAATATAAAAAAATGTATCACGCGCTTTAAGTCCACATCATTGATGTATTGTATCTAGGTAGCAAAAACTTACATGGTCTTATACACCACAAATGACATTTTCGACTATTAATTTTATACGGAATTTTATGAAATTAAATATGCTGATTCGAAAATGAAACAGCTGGGATGCAACCCACATGCTCTTAAATTTCCCTTGAGTGTACTTTATTTTTACTAATATCGACTTCTCGTTATACCACTTCGTTCACGTTTCATAAATCCTCTGAAAAGGATTCCAACAAGACAGTTTTTGTCCTGAATAACTTGAGCGGCTGTTTTCTTACTTTTTTTCAGACGCTTCCAATTCTCGTTCTTCTCGGGATGTCTCTGTTGTCATCTTTTCTTGCTCAAGACCCTCCCTACTCTCTTATACAAAGCAGGTATGCGGAACTGTCAGCGTTAGTGCTTAGATGACTGAGGTCTTAGAATGCGGCATGTACCTCAAGCGAGTTTAAGAGTCTCGACATTAGATAATGTGGCGATGGATTGTAAATAAGGAATGCTACGATAAAAGCAATATACGCTTAGGCTGTGCATTAGTCCTTTTTTGAATATTGCGGAAATTATCTTATGAGATTTATTTTCATAGAAATGAAGAATCCTCATAAATTAATTCTCAACCGATAATTTCCAATTACAGCAAATATCCGCACGAGCGGGTAACGATGAAGTTTAAGGTTCCGTATTTCGTCCAAGATGGTTTCAGTCGTGACTTCAATCGCAACTCTATATTGAGGTTGGAGGAGCAAATTGAAGCTGAATTCATCATAAACCTTCGGCATAGTTGTTTTAGAGAACGTCAAAATCGAGACGCTATGTTATGGAGAGCTCGGCACACCGGCAACAGTATTTGGGCTACGCGAGCTAAAGAAGTGGGCGTTCCCAGCTGTGACCGTCTTGCCGATTTGCACGTACGAGCATAGGGAATACGTTTCCGCCCCAGTACAATACAACAGCGGTAACAACAACAAAATAGTTAGCCATTGCAGAAGTAACAGCAGCACCATTTCCAAATGTAATAATATTCATTCAAACCGGAAACAGTTCTGTATCTAGTCGGAAGAAAATATTGCATTATTTTTAATTAAAAATGTCTAATGTCATATAGACTAAGATACTTCAACTGACTAACAAACTAATATAGATTTTAATAACGATTTATAGTTTATTGAAATAATATTTTTAGCTCCGGTTGGAATATGGCGGTCTGAGTATTCGGCTTCGAGGTGTGTCCTAAATTCACTCGCCAGAAAACCATCAAGCAATTTTTGGTTTTGTTGCTCTTCGATTGACCACAATCGGATATATATTAAAAAGTATAGCCGTCATGTGAAAAAATAATGATACTGAGGTTAATATACGGTTATCATTCGTAACTGATCGGTGAGATCATAAAAGAGGTGCTAACGTTATGTAGCAGTGTTTTTATCGAACACGCAGATTTTGTACAGGGCTCCAAACAACAGAGAAATGTAAACTTGAGTTGTGAGGTACGGTGTCCTCTTTCAGTGTACCCACCTCTGTTATGAATATACCAATTACTATGTACTACACTCGTTTTGTTATTCTAATTTAATTCTGAGTAAGATAAGATTTTTCCTTGAATGCATCGAAATATATGATGAGAAGAGACACTTGCATAGGCCGAAATTGTCATAACGCTGAACAAGAGCTTCAGCGAGGCCACCTACCTGAAATGTTATCACATGGCTTTATCATAACGACTTTATAACAGACTAAATTTGCCTTAAACACAGGACTTCAACAATAAAGTTAATAATAACGGTAAGTTTATTCGCAAACTCACCGATACACTCATACAAATGTTTCATTAGTACTATAAATGAATACTCGAATTAAAAATCAACGAACTTTTCTAAGAACAAAAAAATGTCGTAGAATACTTTATTTACTACCGAACGCTTGACTTAAAGTATAGTGCGGATAAATTATGGTTGAATGATGAGTTTTTAGAAGAAAAAAAAGCACACATTACAAACACAGTAAACTGGGATTGACCGCAATCGAGCGGATTGCATGAACTTACAATATATTAAGGAAAAACTCTTGACATGCTACGCTAGGCAATGTGTACATAGAAGAGTGGGAAAAAGTAGGCACACATGTTGAAAAGTAGGTGATAAGCACATGATAAGGGCGTGAGAAAGCGACGCATATTGTTTGTTGTGATATACAAAATATAACTATAAAAACTACGGGGTAATTTTTCTATATAGATTCCAGAGAGAGTCCGGATTCCTTTTTGATAGACTATGATCACATACTTTGTAACACTTAACTGTGTAGAGTTAAGGCTTTGTTCAAGAACGTATTGGTCACACAGATAAGCTGTTCTGAATGTCTCCTCTCTAAAAATCGAGACCGAGAAGAGACCATATTTAACAGTCCTAACCAATGTAAATGTGATTAAAAATTAATACAAAGTACAATAGGGAAATGCCGATCGATAATATTGGGAATAACAATATGTTTTATTACATAAATAACCTATAATAGTAGAATAATTAGTACATTAAAATAAGTCGATAAGTTACACCAAAAAATGATATGTAAAAAAAATATTGACAGGAAATGTATAAAATAGTTGAAAAACAATTACAACAACAGGTATATGTAATATCACAGTCGTTCGACGAGACAAAGAGATAACAGAGCCTTTGAATGTCGGGTCGAATTTATCATTAGTGTGTGATCAACACAAAACCTATATTCGACATCCTAGGTATTTTAAATACAAAAAAAAATAGGCAAAGGGTTGCGAAAGAAGCATTTTATTGCATGACTTTATTTAACATAGCGTTCATTTTAGTATATGTTCATATGATTTTTTTAATATTTTATCTCAATATTCTTATCTTGTCCCTGTATTATTTTTCTATTGCATTTTCCATTGAACTTAGACAAATTCTCTCCTAACATAAGTCCTGTCTTTCTTCGCTTTGCCCATATACTTTATCCGTGCTTAAGTAGCTCGTATATGTAATGCAAAGTTAATTAATAGGGTTATGTGGTATATAAGTTTGTTTCCTGGTGGTCTAGCTACACCACTTTTATCAGTGCCTGCATTAGGGGATAAACATTTCACAATACATATTGTCTTTTCACTACATTTTCAGCTATCGATGGCTAGCAAGTTTTAGGTAAAAAAAAAACACTACATATTAATTTTTTCTGTTGTTTATTGTGACACGTATGAATTGCGATATGTATAAGGTAGGATATGCTTTTAATTTAAAATAAAGAATGACAATTAGGGTAACAAATCTGACCATTTAGCGGCCCGGACTTCCCTTAATCTAGAAACTACTTTCACGGCCAATGAAAGCTCTTTAATGATAATAGTTCTGTTTTATGAATTTTACACTGTACGAATTCGTGTTAAATGTGTGATAAATATATGCAAAACCTGATGTCCCTCTAGTTATTGAAAAAAGCGTAGTTCTGCAAATGTGTTTTTATTTATTTACTTGGTAAACGTAACTTTTTCTGTAAGTAGTAACTAGCGTATTGACACCATAATTAGATACATCGCATTTATCGCTTTTTCCTTTATTACTTATAAAGATTTGTACTCGATCTGTCTTTCCGAACGTCCGCTGGATTCACGTGTAGCTAACAATGTGTTTTATGTTCGGTACTTAAACCGTTCGGCATTGCTTTAAACGACTGATCCTCGGTACGAAACGAAATGTTTACACCCAGATTCGAGTTTAAACTACCACGCGTCTTCAAACTTAATAAGTTTTATTGCTAAACCTGAACTATGCAAACAACCAACAGAGACGCAACCAATAATAAAAGATCTTTTCCTGCGAACTTCTCTAGGAGCTGTGCTATTCGTATCATGCTCGATACGGTTCTCAGCTTCTAGATACTTCGGTCGTTCTCCACCGTGACGATTACTAAAGAGTTCTTTCTTAGTGTATCATATAGTCGGACTTCGCCTTGAAGCTTATCGTTGCGTAGATAGCGATTCACCTCTGTATTTTCCTTGTCCTAGCGTCTGAATAGTGGCTCAAATGTGGCCCAACTATTGTGTCCATTCGGTGAGGCTTTGTGCTGCAGTGAACATTCTCTGAATTCATTTTGTTCTGTGAAGTTATCTGCTAATAACTCGATTTGATCTTTAAGCAGATATTTTATCGCATGCAGGCTACGCTCCACCAAATCGAACGATGCAAAGGTCGTGCCCGAGCATGAGACAACCTTGGTTATTTGCTTGCTAATTTTGTCGACAGATTTGGCATGATACTGCTAGTATTTTAAGCAGTCTGTCGATACCGGAGGACCACATTCGCTCGTAAATACCACTATGTCCATTGTCAAACAGTTCTAGTACCAGGTATTGATAAGTTTTTCGGGCTGAGCATTTTTTCGTTCCAAAGGACAACTTGTTTTCTCTACAGTTTTGAGCCTGGAGCCCTTATCCAGAGCCTTTTTGGATCGGAAATGGTCTAGTGGTACATCATCTAAGTCTTTAAGGAGCAATATGAATTTGATAGATCTAGCCAACCCCTACCGTCTGCGCATTTCAGGGAATACCGGTTAAGTGCATTCGCGACCTGCTGGTTTTTTCCAAAAAAATATACGATTTCGACAGGTTGGTCTCTGTCGTTGATGTAATCCGTGCTCTTTGTGTAATTTGTTGGCAAGAGATGGCCTAGTGCACGCTGTAGAGAAACATAGGTTAGGTCATTCGTATGGGAGCGTTTTGAATGTCGCAGTTACCAGTTACGAATAGCTTTGTATAGTCAGAGACCTAAAAACACGGTTCAGGGCAACGTTCAGTTGACCGTGATTGAAGATCCGTTCCGCAAGCGAGATACTGCATCGTCTCGCGTTTAGCCTTGGGCATTGTAAATTATCATATAGAAGCATCACTGTATAAGAAATTGTTTTTGACTTCAGGGAATGCTCGTGACATCAGAGAGTGAAAGCGTAGTTCTTAGCAGCTGCACGATTTGGTCCTGAAATATGCCAACGGCAATTTTTGCGGCAATGGAGTTAGGCTTTAAATCGTAAACGGGCAGCCTGCGGAGCTTATGGGGTTTAGAATAAAAAGGGTAGAAAAAAGTTATAAGTGAAACCCTTTTTTAAGCGCAGAATATGAGGTGGAAGGTCGAATAAGTCGAAACGATAGTGACACGATTCAATACGCGGTATTTAATGAATGTACGGGAGAATTAACGGTGCATGCGGCTTCAATATCCCTGACCATTTGATTAATGTAGAATAATATATACATATTGAAAAATAAGTTTCCCAAATGGAATACATAAGTAAATGAAACCTACGCAGTCTACAACTGAATCGTGGCAGTCCTCTCGGACAGCAT